AGGAAGGAAGGAAGGAAGGAAGGAAGGAAGGAAGGAAGGAAGGAAGGAAGGAAGGAAGGAAGATCTATATTTCTAAAAACTGCCTGAAGGAGAAAAGGCTTAGCTGGAACCTTCTGCCAGATTTTGGGAAGGAAAGGGAGACACAATCAAGCTTTGAACCAACTACCAACTTCCAAAAGGTCTTCCTTACCTGCCAATTTCTGGATTGGGGTCCACCAGAACGCTGACGAACCTGAAGAAGAGAGAGCCTTTCCATTTCACAAATTCTTCCTAATCAAACCAAAACAGCACAAGAATTAGCCTTTTGGATAGAAAATGTGGATACAGTCTTCCTAATAGATAGATAGATAGATAGATAGATAGATAGATAGATAGATAGATAGATAGATAGATAGATAGATAATGTATATGCATATGTATATGTATGTGTGTATGCATGTATGTATGTATATATGTTTTCTTAAGTTTTCGCGGGTACTTACATGTATGGCATTCGGCTTTGCTCGGGTATGACGTGGGAAAATACCCGAGCAAAGCCGAATGCCATATGTATATGTATTTATTTATTTTGCTCAAAGCTCCAAACAAACCCCAGCATCTTTCCCTTTTCTGCAGTTTTTTCTAGGTTTTCCAGGATGGCATCTTTAAATTAACTGGACAATGGTTGTCCTGAATCCATGCCAGAAAAAGTGAACTCCACGTTTTGCTCCTAATGAAAATGTAGCACCCTGTGATTGGAGATGAAAGGCGAAAGCAGTGTGCTCCGTCCCATTTTTGGGTAGACCAGGTTGCCTTGATAGAAAACAAAAAAACAACTTATATACCGCTTTCCAGTGCTTTCCAGCCCTCTCTAAGCAGTTTACAAAGTCAGCCTCTTGCCCCCAACAATCTGGGTCCTCATTTCACTGAAGCTCAGAAGGTTGGAAGGCTGAGTCAACTTTGAGCCAGTCAGAATCAAACTGCTGGCAGTGAGCAGAGTCAGCCTGCCATACTACATCCTAATCACTAGGAAGGAAGGAAGGAAGGAAGGAAGGAAGGAAGGAAGGAAGGAAGG